TAATATTCCTGATGGGTAGAAACATCAGTCCATGCAACAGAAACTAAATTTTAAGTTAGACCAACTATATATAGAAAACCTGATAAAAGGCAGCATAGGTATTACAAGTCATTAAGGAAGAGTTAAACCAGAACAATTAGAATACCAAAACCTATAGTTTTACACAGTAGGCAAGGTCTTAATGAAATTTTAAGAAAACACACTCTGGAAGATGATATAACACATGAAGTAACAAATATTAATATCTAAAATGTTAACACATCAAATTCATTTAAACCATTAAATTTTCAATTATTTTTAAGACATGGAGTCTTTATGTGTATCCCAGGCTGGGGTACAGCGGCAAGATCACGCCTCATTGCAGCACAAACTCCTGGGCCCAAGCCATCTCCCTGCCTCCACCTCTTGAATAACTGAAACTACAGGAGTGAGCCACCACATCCAGCTTTAAAAATATTGATTCGTAGCCAAGGTTACCCAGACAGTTTCCAAATCATAGCCAAGAAAGTGACTAAATTTCTCTGGTACATCATTTAAAAAAAAAAAAAGAATGCAAAACCAAAATGACTAAAATCTACATTTGCCTTACAAAAAGGAAATAAGCATGGACCTATCAGTTTTATGTTTTATTCTGTCTACAATAGCATTAAAATATGACAATTTATAGACATAAATACCTTACTATAGTTTATATTAAAGCAAATTTAAATTATTGTCAAATAAGACACTGAAACTTAAACGTTTAAGCACATGACATAGAAATAAAAAGTTCTTAATTAAAAGACTTTTCCATTTTTTAATATTTTATAGATGTTATGCCAACATACTCTAAAAGGAAACAGTTTCATGTACTTTCACAATTGGTTTTCTATATGTCATCTTACTATTTCTCTCTTCAAAATACATATGAGGGAGTTGAAAATATGGCAGAAACATTCTAAAAAATGATACTATAGAATTTTATTAATCATCCTGCCTTCCAGTAGCTCCTCATCTTAGAAGTTTAAAACTGCCATTGGACATCCCTCCAGATATGATTGCCTCAGAACCTCCCTGCCCTAAAGGAAGAAACCATTAATTCATGGCCATCGCCTTGCCTAGGTACTGGACAAATAAGCAGCAAGAAATTCTTAGTATTTTGATTTGTATCTTTGCTAACAGGTGCGTCTTGAAAATATTCTGCAGCCTAGTCATATAATCTGAGGTGCCAGCATGAAGTTTACCGATGCTCCGTTATGGAATATGCTGCAGTATCTACCTGTACTCCATTCTTTATTTCATTTTTGTTTTCATCTATAATATTAGGATTTTGTTTGTAATTTACTCTGATTTCCTATTGTGTTTGTAACCCACCCTGAACCACAGTTCATTTTGTGAATTTCTACAACTGTCATTGACAGGAAAATTTGCATTTGATTGCTTGCCTCGGACACGAATTTAACCTGGACGGACATTCTTGCCAAACCACTTTTTGGAGAGGATTCCTTCTGAGACTGCTGTTCTCATGCAGTGGAAGGTCACCAAACTATATGAAGTGATTAAACCCAACTTTTGAAAACCGTGTTTGGTTTAGATCTTCCTCTGTAGACTTGAATATTTCCTCCCTTTCTCCCTTTTCTGGCTTATTCCTATCTCTACTAGGTAAACCAACATGAAGTTCTCATCCTATCTGACAAAAGGGTCCATGGAGTTTTGAATTAATGTTTTCTTGTGGCCAATAGATTACAAAACTGTGGTCAATAGTATCAAAGAATTCACCTAAAAATCAATAACTCTTATAATTTTCTCAGCAAATTGTTATGGAGATTAAGAGAGCTTTGTTCATAAATGCTTGTGTTTGTTAGTCCAGTGGAATAAGCATCAGTTTAAAACCTTCTGTTCATCATCTGCTTAAAACCAGTTCGTGATCTTGTGGAAGTGACAGATTCTGAGTCCCATCTTTCTTTACTGTAAAATATAGTAATTAAGACACCATCTTTTTTATATTGTTACAGAAATCAAGAACATTTATAGTGTTGTGGTAAGTTCTTTGCAAATGTTATAAAAATAATCCAGTACTTTGAGGAATTAAATGCAATATTCAGCCCACTCTCCTGGGATTTTTAAAAGATGAAGTAAAAATTCCAATCAAAAATTTCAACTGTATTTTGTAATACAATTTTATATGAAGTTAAATATTCTCATGTTCTGTTTAATACTTAGAGGAAGTCAGGTTACTTCACATATCAAACAGCTTGATGCAAGTGTATTACCAAAATGAATCAAATTAAAAACCTGAGCTTACTATAAGGATGAAACAAAGCTGCTGTCTTTCAACTATTCTTATCAGTGACGGTTAGCACAGAAATATTGAACACTCGCAGATTCTTGTGACTCTAGTGCATGTTATCAGCCTGTAGGCCAATGTGGAGAAAAATAAAAGACAGCATTTATTTTTTTATTTCACAAATATTTATTGGTAGTTGCTGTGTGCCATGTTCTAGACAATGGGAATAGAGCAGGAAACCAAGTAATGTTTCTGCCCTCAAGATATCTGAGTAACTAAGAAGACAGAAACACTTGGACAAATAAATATTGTGGTAGACCTTTGTTAAAGGGTCACCAATTCCATTTCCTTGTTCTGAGTACATATACAGCATAGAGACTGACATATTCCAGTCTTTCTTTCAGTTACAGTGGGGACATATGAGTGGATGTTGGCTAGTGGAAAGAATTGATGTATGCCACTCCTAAAGCTAGCCATGACAAGTCCTGCATTGTTTTCATCTCTCTCTCCCTTTCTCTCTCTCTGCTAATTTACTTGCTTACTGCTAAGGATACTCTAAAAATGGCAGTAGCAGGGCACATAACTGAAGGATTTATGAGCCAACAGTCACTGCTTGGAGAAAAACCCGCTAACCAGAGTCAGAAGTGTAACGTGAGCAAAAGTCTACTTTTAATGGACAAAACCAGCATATTTTTTTTTGGAGGAGATTGTTACAGAAGCTAGAGTTCATCACACTCACTAATGCAAACGTGTAATGTACCGAAAGGTAGTTATATATTCTTTAAAAATTAAGAGAAGAGGATATATAGAGGAAGGCCATGCTATTCTAGATAATACAATTAGGAAAGGCCTTTGTGTTTTGTTGAAGGTTGAACGAAGAGAAGAAAGAAATCGTGAATATTTGGGGAAAGGACATTTGGTAGGTACAAATCACCTTCAAATGCTGTGAAGCAAAACTGTAATTCACATTTATTTCTTTTTACTTTAAGTTCTGGGATATGAAGGCTTGTTACATAGGCATAATTGTGCCATGGTGGTTTGCTGCACCTATCAACCTGTCACCTAGGTTTTAAGCACAGCATGCATTAGCTATCTGTCCTGATGCTCTCCCTCCCTCACTCCCAGCCCTCCAACTCTGGTGGGTGTGGTTCCCCTCCCTGTGTCCATGGGGTCACATGTTCAGCTCCCACTTATGACTGAGATCATGCAGTGCTTGTTTTTCTCTTCCTGTGTTAGTTTGCTGAGGATAAGGAACAGAGAAAGGGATATAGCTGGGAATGTTGGAGAGGAAGCTAGGGGCCAGCTCATTTGGAGGCCACAATAAGGACTTGAAACTAAGAGAATTCATCAAAAAACTTCCATTAAGATTATAATTACAGAAAACAAAACCGTGGTTCAATGAAAAAGAGTTACTTTGCAAATGCTAAGTCGAAGTACAGATATTCAGAGATTCTTTTCCTGACAGAGAAGAACAATATGCTACTTGCAGGCAGTGTCATCTTTAACACTAACTCGCCCATTCATATTGATTCACAAGGCTGTAATATCATTCAGACCTTCCTTACTTGGGCCATATGGTCCTTCTCCTTAGCAGTAATGTTGCCCTAGAATTTTCATGTATGCAATTCCTGAAGTCCTCATGCTTGCATTACATAACACTTTTTTTTTTTTTAAGAAAGAATCTCACTCTGTCACCCAGGCTAGAGTGCAATGGCAAGATATTGGCTCATTGCAACCTCCACCTCCCGGGTTCAAGCAATTCTCCTGCCTGAGCCTCCCTAGTAGCTGGGACTACAGGATCCTACCACTACGCATATCTAATGTTTTGTATTTTTAGTAGAGATGGGGTTTCACTGTGTTAGCCAGGATGGTCTCGATCTCCTGACCTCGTGATCCACCCACCTTGACCTCCCAAAGTGCAGGAATTACAGGTGTGAGCCACCACTCCCGGCTTACATAATATGTTTAGGTAATTTTCTGTAATGATCATTAGCCATTCTTTCATTATCTTGAAGACTTTGTTCTGTACTTTATATTGGATATTCTTATTCTATAATATCATGTCAATAGCAACTAAGCAGTCAACACAAGTAAACTCACTGTCCTCCAACTCCTCTCTCTCTCTCTCTGTGTGTGTATACACACACATATACATATTTCTCTCTGTATACATATGGATATTTATTTTTAAAGCAAAAACAATAGCAAAAATTTGCTTTTTGAAGTTGTATTATTTGGTTGCTTTAAAAATCCTGAAGAACACTAAAAATAATAAGAATTGTTCAAGGTCACATATATTTTAAGTGCCTACATTGGCTCTAGATTCCATTTTTTCTGGTTCCAAACTACTCCGTTCTTTAGGACAATGCCACGAAAGATACTTTTTATGTGTGAAAGAAAATATATTTTTCTAATATGTATGGGTCATTTTAGATTTATAATTTTCTGTTGATTTTGATTATATATTCCTTTAAAAGAGAGCTGGTCAGAGTTTTTTAAAGCATAACTATATTTTACTACATAAATTTTGCAGTGAGAAGCGAGAGATATTATGTCTATGATATTAGTGCTGTTTATAAATGTTTCTCTTCATTTACAATTATACATCATGGTAAAAAACACTCCCATAGGAATTGCTTTAAGAAACAAAGAAAAGTAAAAGTTTATCAATCGGGAGATTTAAAAAATAAAATATAAATAGTTATTCGAATATTATAGTTAAATTATAAATTACCTTTTCATATATTGAAGGATAAATCTGCCAATTAAATGCACACACCTACAGCAACATGATTTAACTTCTGCGCTGCAAAAATTTAAATTAAAAAGTATTAAGAAAACACCACCAAGTGATAATAATGACAAAATAGTTGGTATCTTCATGGGACGGTGCTTAAGATGTCACTGAAAACTTTCCATATCAAATACATTATATTACATCATATATTTTCGCGAAATTTGTAGTAAACAAGCATATATTCATTTACCCCATAAGCAATTCTTTTCTACTAAAAAGTAAGATAAGGCAAAAAGTTGAGCCTAAAATCAGTAATAACTATTCAATATTATATAGTAAATATTCCACTTATACTCTCTTATTTAACTTTAATATTATAAAACTAAGTAAGGAAAAACAATGATTTTAATATGCATTGAAAATAACTAATATTCATGTTTTTCAAATGCTTTTTAATATATTTATTATATATGACTTTTACTTATATTTAACAAAATAGTTTATTTACAATCTTCTTGTATTTCAGTTTTGTATTATGATTAAAATAATTCATTTTTGGTTGTCATCTTTCTTTTTCATTATAAAACGGACAAATGAACCCGTATGGCTCAATGTAAAGAGTTCAATTTGAAAACTACAGAATTTCTTAATGATTGTTTTTAATATCAGCATTCTTCAGTAGTTTTTGTTTACTTAACAAAGAACAGAAATGTAATTGGGTTTATTGCACCAAAACTCATCATTTGAAACAATTACCATTAAGAAAATAGTTTCCAATCTTGTGGGTTTTATTTTATTTTCTAGTGCTGTACATAGTTCAGTGCCTTGAAAAGAGCAGGAAGATGGCATTATTTTTCAAAGGAATATATACGTTAACAAATAAAGCCATTTTTTTATGAGAGCAAGTAACTTTTACTGTGCATGGAATAGATTATGTTTTTGAAAACGACACAAGTTAGACAAGTTAGCAAACTGAGTGTTTGAGAATGTGTTTTTGTCTTTTATCTATCATCTATCTGTCTATCATCTATCCATCCATCCATCCATCCACACACACACATACACACACACATACACATATAAAATGAGCTATAAAAGGATATCCCTTAAAACTTAGGCTTCAAAAAGGTATGTTTTACAAAAAAACGGATAGACATTTATAGATAAAGAACAGTGAGAACAGTACCTGTCCCGACCCGCCGGACGAGCAACAGAGACCCTAGGGAGGGAGTGGGGATTAAAAGAGAGAGAGGAGACGCGGAGAATGGAGACAAGTCAAGAATCTGATCAAGTCTCATTTATTAGCTACAAGGCGGTTGCTTATAAACAAGTAAGGGTGGGAAGTTCTGAGGGCTGAGGTCAGAGAGTAACCATGGAGACGAGGCTGCAGCCTAGCCTCCTAACTAGGAGGAATTTGAAACTTAAACAATAAGGGAAGCCCACAAGATGGAGGTTTAGGTAAGAGGAACAAAAGCTTAAGCAACATAGTTACAAGATGGCTACTGCTCCCCACAAGTACCAATGTGTTCCCCCCCCCATGAGAGTTAGGTATCCTTGTAAAGTAATCCCTTGCTTTGAAAAAACAGTCCAGGCTAAATCATAACACATTTCTATTACATATGTATTAATTCACAGTATTGCAAATTATTAATAAACGGCTAATAGAAACTGATGAACCAAATCAAGAGAATACCATGCTATAGTATTTCACACAGCGTATTTTTTGTATTGAGAGTTTTTGCCTAATTTTAGTGATAGAATATGGTCCAGTTAGCGTCTCAATTTAATTTTCATGACTGAAAAGAGTACTACATGTAAGGATGTCCCACAATTAAGAAGTAGGGTTTAGATAGCGCATTGATTGAACAAGTAGGTGTCCTTACTCTCTCGCAGTTGCCAAAATTACCCTGAAACTTATGTCCTTAGCAAAAATGATAAATTCACAAGTATGAATGTTTTTGTTCTTTGAGAGAGTGACCATGGTTGGATTGTCAATCTTGAGTATATTTTTGAAATCTTGAAAGAAACACTTTATTAAAAAAACACATCACCACACAAATAATGAATTAAACATGGATATTTCAAAATTTTATTTATTTATTTATTCTTGAGTGGAGTCTGGCTCTGTCACCCAGGCTGGAGTGAAGTGGCTCGATCTTGGCTCACTGCAAACTCCACCTTGCAGGTTCAAGCGATTCTCCTGCCTCAGCTTCCCAAGTAGTTGGGACTACAAACATGTGACCCCACACCCTGCTAATTTTTTGTATTTTTAGTAGAGACAGGCTTTCACTGTGTTAGACAGGATGGTCTCATTTTCCTGACCTTGTGATCTGCTCGCCTCGACCTCCCAAAGTGCTGGGATTACAGATGTGAACCACTGTGCCCAGCCTTATTTTATTTTTAATTGACAAATAATAATTGTATATATTTATGAAGTGCAGTGTGATGTTTTGATACATATGTACATGTGGAATGATGAAATGAGGGTAAGCATATCTATCACCTCAAATATTTATCATATATTTTTATGAGAGCATTTAAAATTCTCTTTTAGCTAATTTGAAATATATAACATATTACTATTAATTATAGCTACATTGTTGTGCAATAAAATACCAGAATATATTCCTCCTAACTAACTTAAAAGACTATTATGAAATAGCAGTTATATCGTGTTCAAATTAACGGGTAACGATTGAGATCTATTTTTCCACGATAAGCAAAAACAAACAACCAAAAAAAATCTTTTAAAGTTTATGCCCTAGAACTATCTTATAGAAAGCTAATGCAAGCCAAAATTGTTAACCAATGTAATGTCAGACTTTACAATAGGCACATAAAACATCAAAGGGAAACAGATTAAAATGGTTTAATTAATGTTTCATTTAATCAAAAATATCTAAATTATTATTTTTAACATAAAACCAATACATGACTATTAATGAAGTACTTTACACTCTTGTTTCTATGCTAATTCTTTGAAACCTGTTTTATATTTCAAACATAAATACATTCAGTTCAGTATAATCATATTTTAGGCTCTTGATAGCCAAATCTTGCCATTTTATAAGTGAGAAAATTACATTCTAGAGTTGAAGTGATGGACCAAATTGTAAATGGTCAAGCCATGATTGCATTAGATTTTCTTTGACATACAATCAATTAAGTGTTTCTATCCTCTCTGACAAATGTAATGATACAGCATGTATGCAATAGGTCAGAGAAATGATGTCCAGCTTCTTTTGTTGGAGAAGTTTTCAATTGTTTTATGTTATCTGTTATGTTTTGTTTGTTTAGTTTATATGGTTAAATTAATTAAGAAGAAAATTAATTCTTAATTTATTTTAGAGGAGAGACAAAAGTTGTCCTGGATTAAAGAGCTAACTGTAAGTGATTGATCAAATAAAGAAATTATTTTTGTAAAGAATAAAGAATAACAATCCAAAAGTTTATTACTGGGAAAACAAGCCAAATGTGTTGTAAGTCTAAGAAATAGTTAATATTAACAGATTTGTGATAAAAGTTTTTATACTAGGCAGCCTAGTAGAATTTTCTTTAATTGATTCTGAGCAGATCTTGCTAATGAGCATACCCCACATAAGCTCATTATGCTTTATATTACAGAAGGTGAATGATTGTGTTCCATTCCTATCAGTGGATTTTTAGAGTGTGGGTTTTCATAAGGATCTTTGCATGCATTTCAAAGTAGGTCAGTTTTTTCACTGACTACCTGCATTGTTACCAAAAGCATTTAAAATAATCAAAAGCATTAGTGCTCAAATCAAGTAGTATATGACCCCAAGATTGAATGGGCTTGTACTGTTACAAATAGGATTTGGGGTCATCCTTTGCCTTATCTTTAAAACAGTTGTTGTTCAAGAGAAGAATTAAGTGCTTATTTTTTTATCTGCATAGAAGCAGAATTTGGGGCCCTCGGGCTGCCTATTCTTCCATGTCAAAGATGTTAATACTGTATCTGCTTACCAATGTGACAAAGAGTATGTGTCGGCTGGGTTCTTTTCTTTGAAGTGAAGCAGAAACTAAAAACTTTCATTTTATCATTGAAAATCTTTTCCATATAACTTCGCCATCTCACACCCCCTGTAGAGCACTACAGTCTAGGTTAACTCTGGGCATAAGAAATTCATGGACTTGTCCCTGGTTAATAGATAATATAAAAATATGAATATATCATTGACATCATTCTCTTGTGTTTATGTGGCTGAAGAAATATGGGGTTGAATACTTCATAAATATTGTATAATGCATACATTTTTTAAAATTTTGAAACCTGAAGCTGAGCCAAGTAAAAAACACTGCCAAGTAAATATGAAAAACTGTGACCACTTCAGGAGAGCTTTCTTTTGAGAGAGCAAAAGGCTTCTGAAGGCAAGTTTTAACAATTATTATACAGAGTGTATGTCATTGAGTGATTTGTTTCTCACTGTCTGAAAGTAGTGTGACAACAACTATAATTGAACAGTTACTCATGTTTGTAGATGCATTTACTATTAATTTTGGTATAAACACATCAACTGCATGTTAAAATACTTGCATTTCCATCAAGAACAGAATATTACAATTGAGTGGTCATCATGCCACATAAAAACATGAACGGTCATACAAAAACTTGTTTTTTTGGAGTATAAAAATAATGTGTGTAATTAAAGCGATCTTTTACACTGAAGCAGAGACGATTTAAAAATGAAATTAATAACCTCATTGTCAGTCTCCAATGCCATGAAATTTGTGTTAAAGATCTTGTTTCTCTTTGCTAGTTAGCAAGGACCCGAGCCATCAGTAGCAACCACTGTGCCTAATTTCCACTCTTTGTGTCAAAAGGAGAAATGAAAAATAGGGAATGACAGAGGTGAATGAAGCTGTCCTTCTCTTAATTTTATTTAACTCACTGTAACCAGCTTTCTCAACATGTGTTCCAGGAATAATTTGGCTTTTATATTATCCACCAGCACCACCAAGTGGAAAAATTTTTATTTTTTCTTGTACAGTGATCATTGAAGACAAAACAAAATATAATACTGCAATAATATTAGGACTAATTAAATACGTCTGAGATATTAAAAAAAAGTGCATCTCAGAATCCTCAGGGTTTATCAAAGAACTGCTGAAAATATTACATTTCAGAAATTTAAAAAAAGATAATTTAAAAAATATATTTTATGTTTATGCTGATTTTTCTTGTTTAAAATTAATGCTGATAACATAAAACAAGTAAAATAAGAGATGATTTTACTATAGCAATTTATTTTTATTTTATTCCACATAATTTTACCCTAACAGCATAAATTATACTTTATGTTCAATTTTTTTTATTTGCTGGTAGAAATTTGAAGAATTAAAAAGGAGGCTGTGAGCTAAAACATTCATTACTTGAGCGAAATAAAAATAAATAACAATAGAATATTTTTTTATAAATTCATGTAATAAAATCATTTTGTTTACTGATAACATAAAAACAACACATAAATTCTTTCTTTACTAGAAATAAAATTGTATACATATATATGTTTAAAATATTTGTTGAGCATAAAAAAAAATTTTAGGTGTCAGTATTTGGGGGGTTTATTTTAATGTATTTAGCTCTTTAATTTTCTAAAATATATGTCATTTGCAAAAATAAGTAATGGGAAAACTCAAATTACACTACAAATTTATTCAAATTAGCCAGGTAGAAAGTGCCGTAATCCTAGCTGCAAATTGTATATAACTATCTAGGAAGTGAGGGGACTTGAGCTCAGATACATTTGAGTACTCAAGATGATTTAAAAATATAAATATATAATACTATTCTACCTTATAATAAAATATGAGGGCATTTTGTATTGGAAATGCAATGTGTCTTTTTTCAGTATTAGTCCAATTACTCCTAGGGATGCTTTATTCAAATATGGAATGTTTATCTCCCTCCACTTATGCTGTTAGGTTGTCTTGTCAAGTGATGATTATTTAGGGACAATTAATATGAAGTTTCAAAACCAATAGTAGTGAAGATTAACTTTATACAATTATTTTGTTCTCATTTATACCTTTAGCATTCTTCCCGTTGATCAAACAAAGCTAACTTTATTATATTTACTGACATTAAACTGAACACCAGCCTGACAGAGCCTATCATGGCTTTCAAGGAGAAAACTTTGAGATGAATTTTAGCTCTGGTCTGTATAAATTTAAGAAGGGTATTTCGTGTAATCCCAGCACTTTGGAAGGCCGAGGCGGGTGGATCACGAGGTCAAGAGATCGAGACCATCCCGCTCAAC